GGGGGTGTTGAGGATGTCAAAATAATCTCCATGGAAAAAAATGCCAAAATTTTGTGAAAGAACCGAATGAATATGTCTTTGCACCCCTATCAACGCAATTTAGATCGTTTAGAAAGCCGGTTTTGACCTGTCAGAGTCAACCCAGGCTGAAGGGATGCAACATCCCAACAAAAAGACCAAGAAATGATCAATATTTCCCCACTTGGAAATCAAACCCAAGTCTTCTGCATGAGAAGTCAAATCACATAACCCCTACACCACAAAGGTCAGTCAAAATGTCGGGACAAAAACAAGTGTTCCCTCTGACCTCTGAACTTGGCAAGGGTAGCTTGTGTCCTGAGGATTCCCTTCGGGCTGTTGGCTGCGTGGACAGCTGCCTCCTCAAACTGACCATCCTCAAACAGCTCGTTGAACTTTTCGATGTACTCCAACATCATCTCTGCCTCCTTCTCCTTGTTGGGGTCATCGTCCTCAAACGTGGCCTGAGCTGTCTCCACCTGCTCTCCCTCAGCTCTTTCTGGGAGGGAAAAATGGAAGGTCAGAGATTGAGAGTTGGGGGAAGGACCTACCACAGAGTGTGTTGCTAGCCCTAACACACAACACATCTACCACATAGTGTGTTGCTAGCCCTAACACACAACACATCTACCACAGAGTGTGTTGCTAGCCCTAACACACAACACATCTACCACAGAGTGTGTTGCTAGCCCTAACACACAACACATCTACCACAGAGTGTGTTGCTAGCCCTAACACACAACCTATCTACCACAGAGTGTGTTGCTAGCCCTAACACACAACACATCTACCACAGAGTGTGTTGCTAGCCCTAACACACAACACATCTACCACAGAGTGTGTTGCTAGCCCTAACACACAACACATCTACCACAGAGTGTGTTGCTAGCCCTAACACACAACCTATCTACCACACAGTGTGTTGCTAGCCCTAACACACAACACATCTATAACATAGTGTGTTGCTAGCCCTAACACACAACACATCTACCACATAGTGTGTTGCTAGCCCTAACACACAACACATGTGACATTTTGTCTTCTCCGGTGAAGTTATCACTATGATTGAGCGACATAATCTGCAACATGGGTCTGATCGGTGAACAGTCTTTAATACTTCCAGTTAAACTTGTTCATACTAACTGATTTATCTTCTCTCTATCTTTACAGCTGCACGATCTTATTTGAAATAACAATTTCTTTCCTCTTCTCAAATGTACAAGAATATCTCCAGAAAGATACGGTATCTAATTGACCTAAACATGATGATAAATACATTCAAAATAAAATGAACAAAATTTGCGGTTTCAATAATTGGCAACAGCTGTGATAAGGTAAAATTGTGAGTTCACCTGTCTAAGGCTAAGAAAATTGTTAACTCACCTCTGTGAAGAATAGGAAACAGTGAGTTCACCTCTCATGTACAGAACATTATGAGTTCACCTCTCTCATGTACAGAACACTATGAGATCACCTCTCATGTACAGAACACTATGAGTTCACCTCTCTCATGTACAGAACACTATGAGATCACCTCTCTCATGTACAGAACACTATGAGATCACCTCTCTCATGTACAGAACACTATGAGATCACCTCTCTCATGTACAGAACATTATGAGATCACCTCTCATGTACAGAACACTATGAGATCACCTCTCTCATGTTCAGAACACTATGAGATCCCTAAAGAACACTATGAGATCCCTAAAGAACACTATGAGATACTTAAAGAACACTATGAGATACTTAAAGAACACTATGAGATCCCTAAAGAACACTGTGAGATACTTAAAGAACACTATGAGATACTTAAAGAACACTATGAGATCCTTAAAGAACACTATGAGACCACCTCTCTCATGTAAAGAACACTATGAGATCCCTAAAGAACACTATGAGATACTTAAAGAACACTATGAGATACTTAAAGAACACTATGAGATCTTTAAAGAACACTATGAGATCCCTAAAGAACACTATGAGATACTTAAAGAACACTATGAGATACTTAAAGAACACTATGAGATCCTTAAAGAACACTATGAGACCACCTCTCTCATGTAAAGAACACTATGAGATCCCTAAAGAACACTATGAGATACTTAAAGAACACTATGAGATACTTAAAGAACACTATGAGATCTTTAAAGAACACTATGAGATCTTTAAAGAACACTATGAGATCACCTCTCTCAGCTCTAAGCATTCCTGAGGCCTGCTGGAAAGCGATCATGACAGCGTCTCCCACCGTCTGGTGCGGTGGCTTCATCTGATTGTATGCCTGAGATGCCTCCAAGGCAATCTTGAGCTTGTGACCCCTGGCCTTGTAAACCTGTCAACGAGTGATCGCTTACATCAACACATCCTTCTCACATCAGAAGGAAAAGATCGGAAGCTTTCCATTGAAAAACTTTACAAACATTTTGGGAATGACATGGGACGGCAGAACTACTAAGACGATTTAAAGATGTGTGCCAATAAAATGCTATAACAGAGTCCTGAAGCATTCCAAGATGATCAACAAACAATTTGCTCTGATCCTGTGAAATAAAGGACAAGATTTATCTGTTTGCAGAAACAATTGAGGTTGAAAACGCTATTCATGTTCACTTGATGATGCTGAAATGCTAGCTACAGCCCTGAACATGTGCACAGGGGCGATACTAGGTGACAGCCAAAGTCGCCTTGGGCCCCCCCCCCCACAAGACATCACACAGTAACAAGGCATCACACTTGCACATCCTAGTGCATCTATCTCGGGTTTTGCCCAACCAACGTAAAGATAATATGGGAGCATGTTTTGGTTTTGCCATTGTTTTTGTTTTGGCTCACGCATGTACAACGGCAAAAGGAAGAGTGTAGTTGACCCTTGCAGATGGGTGACTTGGCGCCACCCCTTTCCAGTACCACCCCACCCCACTGCATAAACGTCTATGAAGTCAACCAAACATGGCCATCCTCATAGAGGAATTCTCAAAGGTAGAACTTATCAACCAGCTGTAGTCAACAGTCAAAACCACTGCGATGACAAAGAGTAAGGTTAACTACAATGTACATACCTGACTTTGCCAGAGCAGGTCATCTCGGTACGCGACTTTGTTGTCCAAAGTTTCCTTCAGCTCAAGTTTTTGAGTTTTGGGCAGAAAGCGAGCTCTCAAACTAATGTTCAACTCCTTCAACTGCCGATCTAAGCTTTCGTATTTCCTTTGCAAAATTTGCATGTCTGTCGTCTCTTCAAGGGTGAGACCTGATCAAGAAAATTAAAACAAATACATTCCTCAACACATCCAGTGAATATATCATTTATATATATCATTTATATATTAGACACATCCAGTGAATATATCATTTATATATTAGACACATCCAGTGAATATATCATTTATATATATCATTTATATAAATCATTTATACATATCATTTACATATATCATTTATATATATCATTTATATATTAGACAACAGTTTCTTCTCTCAAAATGTTGTTTCGATTATGTTGGAGCTTTCTGCCCCCATCAACACAGAATAAATAGGAGGCAGGCTTCACCCTGCATGTCAGGGCCAACTGAGGCTGAGAGGGATACAATGTCCCAACAAAAGACAGATACTCAATAGAAATTCTCCCCCTACAGGAACTGAACTCAGGTCTTCTGCATGCAATGGTAAAGTGCCTCACCTCTAAACCACAGTTGCCAGTCAAAGAGCTTTGATGTAAAACTTAGAATAAGATGCCTATAAGGATTCAGCAAAGAATGGAATCATGGTTAGAAGACACAGTGACCCTTTCCTAGCCTCCCTATGACGTAGTACAAACTACCCTGCACAAATTTCACTGTTTCGATAATTACCTGGTATCAAACGACTGTCTTTTTTCAGCTGTCGTTTTGGGGCTTCAGCAGTCTTTGGTCTCTTTTCTCTTTCTACTCGAGCAGCTTGGATCTCTTTCAGTTCCTTCACCAGCCTCTCGTTATCTTTTTTCACTACAGCCATCCTAGCAGACCAGTCCCACAAAAAACTGTCAGTCAAAGTCATATCTAAAACTAAACAAATGGTCAACTTTATGGTGTCATTTTTATGTGGCTTGGAGAAAAGAGTAAAAATTAAAGGGTTCGCTGTTACATTACATAAGACACTGGAAAAAATTGTTTCATCACAGTAATAATTTTTCGGGTTTCAAGACCCATGCACAATAATCAATGGTGAACTTATCTACCGCACACATAAAAACGTTGAAATTCGTTTATAACTTTTGAAAACACGTTCCTTTCTATTGTTTTACATCCATCTATCTTTTTTAATCAACCCAATAAAGCCTGACCTTTCTTCCAGCTCATCTGCCCTTTTCTTATAATTCCGAAGGGTGGAAGGTTCAGAAGCCATAGCCTTCAGTTTCCCTTGTAAAAAGGCTGCCTCGCGTTGACCTTTCTTGATAGTCTCAATTGTATCTTCATACTCCTTTTTGATCAGAGTCAGGACTGGTTTGTAAGCTGTAACATGCTCAATAACCTGAAAGAAGAATTGTACCCAAAAAAATTCACTGTTCTTGATAGGATTGTTTTCACAGGAACTGGAAGAGAATTTTCACCTTTACGTAGCATGACTCAGCAAATAGGGTAAACGTATTGGATCATAATTATCATCATCAAGTGACACACCAGAAGCATATTTTGGCAATCATAGTTCATCACTCATTTCTCTGCTCGTATGTTCTCAGACAATCTACGTTCCGATCTTTCCCGTACACTATCTAGTCTTTCACTGTCACCCATCTCTTCAAATTCTCTCAGTGTGATTGTCTTGGGCAGTGCCATCATAAAGGAACAATGCAAAGGGGAAGTGGGAAGTGGGAGTTGGTCTTTTGTACAGGTGCTTGTCTCAGACAGATGGCCATCAGGACAGGCTTGACTGTACATGAAATCCTGAAATTAAATTGTTTTTTTTCTGCACCATGTGATAAGAGATGCTTACCACATTCATTTTGGATAATGGTACCTATAATCCAACTTTAAAACATCTTTTATTCATGATTTTCTCATTTTTTCATTGAAGTTCTCCCCCCCCCCTCCCAACTATCTCTACATCCTGCTGAGACTTACGTTTTTTTCCTTACTGTATAGAGATCTTCACAGAACGGACAAAAGATGTGAAAAAAACTTGTAGTTCCACAACAGTAAATAACTTTGTGAAATACGGTGGAAGAAATTTGGGGAGATCACGACACAAGAAGGCCACATGTTGTACTTTGGTGGAGAAGAGGACAAGCATATGAATGGCGTTGGATTTTTTATTCATAAAGACACCGTGAATACCATCATGGGCTGCCGCCCTATTTCTAGCCGGCTTATTACCATCCGTCTTAGGGGAGTCCCATTCAACATCACTATCATTCAGGTGTATGCCTCGATGTCAGACTTTGATGAAGAGGCTGTGGAGGGCTTCTACGACCAGATACAAGAAGTGATAGACCAGACGCCTAAAAGAGACATCATCGTTGTACAAGGGGACTGGAATGCAAAAGTTGGAAAGGATGCATACAAGAACTGGAAAGGAACATGTGGACAATACTGCAACTCAGAGTCAAACGAAAGAGGTCTACGGCTCCTGGAATGTGCCAGCTATAACAACCTAGTGCTGACAAACATGTGTGGCCAACACAAAGCATCACGGAGATGGACATGACACAGTCCACAGATTGACTACATCACGGAGATGGACATGACACAGTCCACAGATTGACTACATCACGGAGATGGACATGACACAGTCCACAGATTGACTACATCACGGAGATGGACATGGCACAGTCCACAGATTGACTACATCACGGAGATGGACATGGCACAGTCCACAGATTGACTACATCACGGAGATGGACATGGCACAGTCCACAGATTGACTACATCACGGAGATGGACATGACACAGTCCACAGATTGACTACATCACGGAGATGGACATGACACAGTCCACAGATTGACTACATCACGGAAATGGACATGACACAGTCCACAGATTGACTACATCACGGAGATGGACATGGCACAGTCCACAGATTGACTACATCACGGAAATGGACATGGCACAGTCCACAGATTGACTACATCACGGAGATGGACATGGCACAGTCCACAGATTGACTACATCACGGAGATGGACACGGCACAGTCCACAGATTGACTACATCACGGAGATGGACATGACACAGTCCACAGATTGACTACATCACGGAGATGGACATGGCACAGTCCACAGATTGACTACATCACGGAAATGGACATGGCACAGTCCACAGATTGACTACATCACGGAGATGGACACGGCACAGTCCACAGATTGACTACATCACGGAGATGGACATGACACAGTCCACAGATTGACTACATCACGGAGATGGACACGGCACAGTCCACAGATTGACTACATCACGGAGATGGACATGGCACAGTCCACAGATTGACTACATCACGGAGATGGACATGACACAGTCCAGGTGGAGAACATCACAGTCCACAGATTGACTACATCACGGAGATGGACATGGCACAGTCCAGGTGCAGAACATCACAACCAGATTGACTACATCATGGTGAAAAAGCGCTTCCAGCCCAGTGTCAAAATGGGAAAAATACGAACATTCCCAGGAGCAGACGTTGGAAGCGACCACAACCTTGTGATGATGACCTTTCGCCTCCACCTGAAGAGGGTTAAAAAGCAAGGAAACACAAGGGTGAAGTTTGATCTGGAAAAACTAAAGGACCCAGAAGTAGCAGCAGCTTTCCAAGCCATGATAGGAGGAAAGTGTGCTCCACTCACTGTCGTTGATGCTGGTAACAACAATGACACAGACATGGACACGTGGATCAACACCTTCAATACAGCAGTGACTGAAACAGCCAGTCAGATCCTCGGAAAACACTGACGAGTCAATAAGCCCTGGGTCACAACTGACATCCTTAACCTGTGTGACAAAAGGAGAAAACTAAAGGAGAAAAAGGAACAACCAGATGGTGCCAAGGAGTACAGAGCAGTCAGCCAAAAAATTTTAAAAAGTATGAAAAGGGCAAAAGGAAATTGGATCGAGGAACAATGTCAAATAACTGAAGGCAGCCTGAAGATGAACAACAGCAAAAAAGCACATGCACCAATTAGTAAAGGACCTGACATACACTATACAAGGGCACACCACCACCATTTAAGATAAACAAGGAAAATGCCTGAGAGAGAAACAAGACATTTTGAAGAGATGGACAGAATACTGCTCAGAATTGTACAACTACAAAGCCACGGGAAACCCTGAGATACTAAACGTTCCCCCAGCAACCAACATCGATAACCACCCAATCCTTGGAGAAGAAGTTGAAGCAGCAGTTAAAGCACTGAAGAAAGGAAAATCAGCAGGAGTGGACAACATCCAAGGAGAATTGATACAGGCAGGGGAAAGGACATGATAAGCGCTCTGACTGTCATCTGCAACAAGATCTGGCAGACAGGATAGTGGCCGACACCATGGACACAATCACTAGTGATTACACTCCCCAAGAAAGGTAACCTGCAACTATGTCAGAATTACCGCACCATCAGTCTAATAAGCCACCCCAGTAAGGTTATGTTGAAGATAATGCTGAACAGATTGAAACCACAGGCAGAGAAGATCATTGCCGAAGAGCAGGCAGGCTTTAGAGCAGGGCGCAGCACAACAGAACAGATCTTCAACCTCAGAACACTGTGCGAGAGGTACCTCCAACACCAACGAAACCTATACCATATCTTCGTAGATTTTAAAAAGGCCTTCAACAGGGTCTGGCATTTGGCATGCAGCCTAATGGGCAACCATGAGGAAATAGAACATCAACGCCAACCTGATCAACGTCATACAACAACTATACGACAAGGCCTCCAGCGCAGTCTACCTTAACGGCAGCATGGGGGATTGGTTCAGGACAACGGTCGGGGTGAGGCAAGGCTGTTTGCTCTCTCCCACTCTCTTAACTCATTCGCTACGTATTATTTTTGGCTTGTGGACGAATTCTTTTCGGGAGGGCGAAATGAGATGATGACTAGTGCGCAGTTCACAGGTCTTGGGGGCCATAAATTCAAATAAATATCAACATATTATATACCAACATTTTCAGTGTGGTTTGTATAATACATCTGCATTATTTATTTGCGTATTTTTCAACTTTGGTTCCTGTAAGAGGCGATTATACAACACAATTGTGATTGGATGCGGATAAAATTGGAAAATAAAAAATGTATAATCTCAGGTGAAACTAAAAAAATATGTTTGCACCTAGTCAAACGATACTTCAAAATAACCATAACTGTATATAGAACAGGAAAATATTGAAAAATGTGCAGTTATTTACATACATTCCATAATATTTGTACATTTGGATCATAACATCCGATATTGAAAAACAATAATTTTTAAAATAATTTTTTTAAAAAGGATCACAAACAAAAAAAAATATGCGTATCTTATATGGAATTATTCAGAATTGCATTTGGAATAAACCTATACATGTCTTGAGTGGTACTTTTTGATTAATTTCACCCAAAAGTAGTGATTTTGGGGAGAAAAAATATTTTGACAATTTAGATCTAGGCCTAGATCTAGCACTCAAAAATATTGATTTCTCAATTACAGTGCACCGGCAATTTGCGTCCTATAGTATCAATATTATAAAGAAGAGTCCTACATTTCTTTAGTGAGCAAAATAATGATACATTTTGTTGTGTAAAAGTACTAAGACTGGTGTCTGGGCTATAATTTGGGCTTCGCGATAAAACAAAGTCGAATTAACTACGAAATCGTGCTTCAAAACTGAATCAAAACTTCCGATTTTCGGTGGAAACGCTTGACCCGGAAATCAACATTATATTATGACCTTTATTTTAACATGGATATGTGGATTGGAATAGAAACCAAGCTAAAATTGAACGTCGGTTCTCGAGCCGCCGAGGGCGGCTTAGCGTATTGACGGCACTTGAGCCGCGCGGCCCCTCACTGCTCGGCGTAGCGAATGAGTTAAACATCTTCCTAGAACGAATCATGACCGACACTCTGGAAGACCACAATGGAACAATCAGTATTGGAGGCAGGACAATCACTAATAGGCGCTTTGCCGATGACATCGATGGGATAGCAGGAGAAGAACAGGAGATCACCACACTAGTGGAGCGGCTGGACACAACCTCAGCGGCCTATGGCATGGAGATCAGTGCCGAGAAAACCAAGCTAATGACCAATAACACTAATGGCATCAACGTGGACATCAAAGTCAGGGGCGAGAAACTTGAGACCGTCAACAGCTTCAAATACCTTGGATCAATCGTCTCAGATGAAGGCTCAAGACCAGAAATTCTCTCCAGAATCGCGCAAACAACAGCTGTGTTGTCAAAACTGAAGTTTATTTGGAAGGACAGAAACATCAAGCCCAACTCGAACATCGGACTAATGCGCTCACTGGTCATCTCAATATTTTTATACAACTACGAGTTGTGGATACCGACCGCAGAATTAGAGGAAAGGATTCAGACAACAGAGATGAGATGTTAAAGCAAACTCCTTGACATCTCATACAAAGACCACATTTCAAATGCTGAGGAAAGAAATAGAATCACTAACAGCATGAAGATCTACTAACCACAGTTTGAAGAGACGAAAATTAAAATGGTATGGGCATGTCACAAGATCCACAGGACTTGCCAAAACAATCCTACAAGGAAAGAGAAAGAGCGGAAGGCAGAGAAGGAGATGGGAGGACAACATTACAGAGTGGACAGGAAAGACGATGGGTGACAATCTGAGGAAAGCTGCAGAGGACAAAGAGAAATGGCGAGAGCTGGTTGTCAGATGCAGAGGAGCCCCCACGGTTGCCCCTAACACGGGATAGAAGAAGAATAAATAAATGTAAACAAGCCAATCATTTTTTCATCATCAAAAAAAAAAAAATCAAATCACATGTCAAATTCAATCTCTCCAAGATATCACAAATTCCATCGAATGGCCTTATATTATATAAAACCATTTTTAAAAAATGCCACTGTAAATTTAAGAAAACAAAAAAAAGACTACACTCGACAAAAATAAAGAGGAGCTGTCTATATAATCATTAGTAATTAATTGCTCACTTAACTCCACACTTCACACTTCTTATACCAAGCACGGTACTATGCGAAAACCATCAGACATTTCAGAGGGGGGAGGGGATACAGTTTCGTCAAAAAAGTTTCGTCAAAAAACTTTGGTCAAACCCCAAAACTGGTGTCAACAGAGTGCTAAATTTGAAGCTGTAATTTGGGCATGACACTGGACACACCCTCCCCCCCCCCCCCCCCCCTTGCAGGTCCATAGGCAGAGCCCCCCCACCCCCACCCTTCCATTTTTACACATACATGTCTTGTCCTTTTTCAGGATTTGTTATAGAATAAAATAGACGGCCTCGATCAGCTTTTTCTTTTGAAAATAGTTCAGTAATTTTAAGGCAACAATTTTGGGGTTTGTAAACTAAGTAATCTAACCATGGTATTTAATGAAAAAGCGACAGCAAATTGAAACGCATGCGATCTCAATGACGGAAGATATGAAAGAAATTTTACTCATTGTATATCACAATGAGTCTATAAAAATAAACCCACTGTCACCCACTAACTACTGAACTGAAAACAACTCAATCTTGCAGCTCATGCAGCCAGTTAAATAAAAAAGAAAATAGATTTAAACAAACAAAAAAACTAACACTGATCACTACCGTACTTGGTCTAATAAAAAATCCCTGCGCAGACTGTAATTAAATACTAATGAATATATAGAAAATACATCTCTATATTTGTCGCATGTGCACGGAAATTGAGATTATTTAGGTTTTTTGGAATTCAGATGCACATGCAAAAAATCAGGACAATTCGCCACTTAGTTTCTGAGTAATGAGGTCGACAAGTTGTCCAGTGGGTGTTGCCCGGACTATAGTTCTAGATCTAGACCTTAGACAAAAGAAAATTTGTCAGTGAAACCAAAAATCAACTCTTCACAAAGGAGAACTATTTCTTCTCATCATATATTGCATCCATTATTTCATCATTTCAATCTGCTTGACCCACTATATGTGCAGCTCGACCGAGCCTTTAAAATTAAAGCAATAAATTCAACACGGGTAAAATAAAAAGGGAGTCTGTAAAAACTATTCCCTATATTGATAAGGTAATGATAGCAGTTTACCTATTAGCTACCACAGGTAACAGGCAGGTGGCAGCTAGCATGGTAAAGAGAGAAAAGTAAAGGAAATAATAGTAATTATGTAACTTGTAATGATCACGGCTCGCCAAAGCAGCGCCTTTCCTTTTCTAAAGTGGTGGGTTATTTAACTAAACATGAAATGGTTTGTTGGTCAAATCCTATTATGGATTTACTTTTAACATTCAAGCATTATTCTTTTCGAGAAAAATGTTCCACACAGGATGTGGTCTGTTGGGCCAATCTCATTAGGATTTGACCGTTTTAAATTTCTTGCTTCTCTGGCTGCTCTGATTTTAACATTCAGACTCTAAATTTAACTTACTCTGTTAAATACTGCTTTGTATATTAAATATCTCTGCTCCTCGTCCAAGTGGTTCACTTTACTCAGTTCTGCATCAATGAAAGAATTGACATCGCTAAGAAATTCTCGATCTGCTTCTGTTGTAATAATCGGAGGCAGTTTGTAGAAGCCAGACACTGGTGTGTCAGAAGCACTCGACGGTCGAGACATAGCCAAATTGTTTATTAACAGCTTTATGGAAATTCTCCATGCAATGAAACTACGCAAGTAATTTCTGGCACTGAAATCTGTCCATCCCAGCTCGAAGAAAATCACCAAGAAACCTGCGCCATTTGTAAACGCTCGGTCGGTAAGGAACTAAAAAATGTCCTCATACCTTTGCACAGTTCAATGATGTAAAATAATGTTTTTTAAAATAATAGTTAGCCTTAAATGTTCTTTATTTGACAATCTTTAAAAGAAAAAAAATAATTTTTGTACTCAAACAATTTCTAAATTCATATAAAGTAATACTTATCAAGTATTCATCCATATCCTCAAGGAAACGGTTTAGCTTTTGCATAAACATTACAATTCATTTCATTCGCGTTCATTCAAGATGGAAGAAATCGGCCTTGGGGGAAATAATGATCAGAAGGTAGGTTCATTAGTGTCAGGAATTTCCCTCTCGTGATATATTTGTCTTTGAGATTCATAACGATAGTTCAAGGTATTAGTATGCAATGTTTGCTTTTTGTGTAATGTAGTGTGAGAAATTGAGTGAGACTGTCGACTCTTCTTCAAACTCAAGACCAAGAAGCCAAACCCTTCCATTTTGTTCGTATTTTGCTTTGTCACATTCACAAGGCGTACCAAATAGAAATGGATTTGATCTTAGATCTAGATCTAGAGTCTAGATCTAAAATATAGCGGCTGAGGCTCGAGTTACATCAACAGTACACTTTACTTCAATACTAGGTAAATTTTTACTTTCACTCCCGCACACAGATGCACTGTTTCAGGGGTCAAACTGCTGTACTGTTTGAACTGTTTGCTGCAGATCACACATCATAAAGCCACTAAAACTGTCGCAAATCAATTATTTTCAAGACAATTTCAAATCTAACTGTAAAATATAAAATTTTGGGTAAAAACAGGGGGGCATGACCCCCTGTAGCCCCCCACATTTTCTTTTACCCCAGTGGGGCATGCCCCCCTTGCCTTGGTCCAAACCGTTACCATGTCTATCTCGGTTAAAAACAGTCAAATATTTCAAAAACTATTTATTTGCGACGGAAATGAAGTTGATATTCGTGTTCAGCACATCAATATTTAGTATAAAATAGACAACTGGTAGCTGAGTGTGAGATGGGAGGGAAAGTAAAAAAATACCCAATACTAGATCTAGATCTAGAATCTAGATTCTAGATCTTGTAACCCTAACCCTTGTTCAGGGATGCAAATGTTTCAGATTTCTGAACCCTTCCAGGAAGATTCATGTTTTGAGGCGGTGACTAGTCATTTTTTATATTATCTCTACAAAATTGTTGTGCTAGATCTAGAGCCTATGTACGGCATACCGTCACCTTTAGTAGTGTTTTGAGATGACTATTTCCGGAAGTGAACTTTTGTATTTCCATAACTTCGGCTCTTTCAAAAACATCGACCCAAAATTTCGTTTTGTTGAGAGGCCAGCCTTTCCTGTAGGTGTGGGGTGAAGTTTTTAGTCAGATAGTGTATAAAGACAAAGAAGACCCCTATCCGAGACTTGACGCATGTCATGACATGTACCCCATACCGTCATGTGTCGGGTTTTCTGTCATGGTATGTACCCCATACCGTCACGCACTACACCCCATACCATCACCCCCAAATTGAAGCACAACTAGGCGTTTGAAAAGAGGAAAGAAGCAAAGACGAACTCCTTTTGTACAGTGGCAGTGGGCCTAAGACAGAACTAATGTTTATATTGACATACTAAAAAGAACAACCACCAGTACAGACTCACATACATCTTACTCACACATAGATCTAGATCTAGGTACATGAATGTTTCATTTTACTCTTCCACACATATATCACAAACTCATATGAGCATGATCTTCCTCACACACAAGTACATGAATGCTTCATTTTACGCTTCCCCACATATATCACAACAAACTCACTTGAACCAGATCTGTTTAAAATCGCTCTTGTAAAACCTTTGCTAAAGAAGCAAAACTTACATCAGAATGTCTTAAAGAACTATAGACCTGTTTCAAATCTACCTTTTTTGTCTAAAATCCTTGAAAAGGTTGTCCTCGAGCAGCTTCGTCATCATTACAAGAAAACAATCTGTTAGAGCCATTCCAGTCTGCCTATCGAGCTAACCACAGCACAGAAACAGCACTTCTTGAAGTCATGAATCGACATGCTTACTTAGGCACTTGGATATCGGCCCGCGCGGCCCGAGATTTTCGTTCACCTGCGGCCGCCGCGTTTTGTGTCAGAAATCGGGCCCCGTGAGGGGGGTACCTATTTGTTTTGTTTCGTTTATAGTGTTCTTTTCAATTTATGGATTACTTCCGCCTATCAAATTAAAGAGGAAAGAAAGGCGCGTATTATGGCGTTTTCCACTTCGGGATCGGTTGTGTGTGTTCGGAGTTACAAGGAGTTAAAAATAAGGTAAGTTCAAGCCTTTATATTTAAAGAGTATATCTTTTTTTTTTTAGGTACTCCTCACAGTCTTTTCTTCAACCTTTTATCTCTTTTATTTGTTAATTTCAATGTTGTACGTTGAGGCATAAGCGTGTGAGCCCTAATTTAAATAGGTCACTCTCCATGAATGGGCATGACCTATTATCGATCGCGCTGCTGAGCGTGAACCGGGAGGTCATGGCGGCCATTGCGGAAAGCGAACTTAACCCACGCTAACGTGTATTGTTGGCGTTTATTACCTCTTAAACGGCATTGAAGAATGTTTTATAGTAGAAGATATGATTCATTTTAAATTTTGGAATGTAATATGTATCACTGTTGTATAATTTTTGTGAATTTGCACCATGTAACAATCAGTAAGGAGTCTTGGGTGGGGGGAGGGAAATGTAACAGCCTTGGCCTTGTTTTGTTTCTGTGTTACTGTCACTGTTAGACCATCCATTTCACGCAAGTTTTTACTTCTTTTGTGTGCTTATATTGTCTTTAAATATATGTTTTTTCTCTTGTCTAGTCATCTACACCCTCCCTTTACTAGAGTTGTTATAGTGTG